ATCACAGTTAGAAATTGTGTCAACACTAAATAATGACATTGCTTTTAAGTATCGAACTGAGAAAGTGACTCGGTAAGAAGAACGTGTGGTGAAATAGACAAATGAAATTATATAAACAGTTTATTTACTGTCATAACATATAAAAGCTCGCCTGTGAGATATCAACAAAACATTAGGAAAATAGCTCACACCAAAGCCTTCACCGAGTATTCACCAGGCAGCCCGCTTCCAAGTTGCGCTGAACCTATTTCACTGGCGCAAGACGCTATGGCGCCAGCCCAGCTGTTGAAACCGGTATTCCCAGAAAAGTCTGGGGAAAATTAGTGAAACGTTTGAACTCCGATTTCGCGCGTTTTTTTTCATCGCGTTATTTTTCAACTTTATAAGTTGAATTTGCATTTTTGATGATTTGTTTCGGTAAGTCCATACCGAAAGGTATCAGAATCTGCAAAGTTGTGTTTTACGTTGCATGTGACCTTTAAGTTGATTTTTGAGGAAGCCTGTGGCCACCTGTGAAGTAAAGTGTCGTCCAAGACCTGGAAGACGACTGACCGTGATGACTGAGTCCTGGTTTGTCTGTCAAGATGCAATCCTATGATTCATGGGTAAGAACAGCGCCAGCAATGGAGAGTCCAACTCTCCACAAGCACTATCAGAAAGAAACTGCTGGTTTTAGATCACATCGTCTTATTAGACATCCCTTCATCACAGATAAGAAGAGGCAGGAGCTTTGGGCGTGTTGCAGGCTCAGAGAAAACAGCAGCTTGAGGACATGGCATAGGGTTCATTTTTACAACTTATCCTATCTCACGGTATGCACTTCCCTCTCTTGCTTCGACCATGGCATGGAAACATGCTGTAGGCTAAGTTGAACAAAATCTTCTGGCCTCTCTCCCGCCTGATAACCCTCCACCGCTCCCATTCTTGGAGACGTCAATCATCCATGTAAAGTATGCTAGGTGCTCAGAACGGTCACATGACATTCCACTGCAGTTATTCTTTTTCTTGTTGACCACTTGTGTGGACATGTATAAGCTCTGTCTCTGTCTGCTACTCTGCTTTGCTACATTATGGGGAAAAGTAATCGTTCCTCTAGGAAGAGGAAATATTGTGATAGATGCAAGAATTTTTTTTCTGTACTGGATCCCCACTCGCTATGCGTAGATGGCATTGGTCTGTGAGATTGGTCTCAACGATGTACTTTCCGTGCTGATGATGACTTTGCGGCTTATCTCAATGTCAGAAACAAAAGAATAGCAGACAAAGATCAGATCCTCAGAGGGTCCCTCGACTTCCAAGAAATCCAAGCAGGATCGTCCCTTCAAGACTGCCCAGTGTTCTTCACCTTCACCTGATGAGGACTTCTTAGACACCCCGTTTAAATCATACAATAGTGAGTTTCACTAAAGTATGAGTCAAACGGGGTTTGACTTCCATAGTTTCAGCGATCCCTCCTGTTTCAGTGATCCCTTCGGGATCAACGATCTCTCTACCAAGTTCGGCTTATTCCTCCTGTGGTTGTTCCCGTGGGGTTCATCTCTACAACGGCCCCCTCTTCTTCACTTATGTTCGGTGATCCTGCCGGCACCAGTGATACTTCTCAGTCTGGTGATCCCACTCAGTTCGGCGCTCCCACTTAGTTCGACGATCCCATTCAGTTCAACGTTGCAACCTAGTTCGACGATCCCATTCAGTTCGGCACTTCAACCTAGTTCGACAATCCCATTCAGTTCGGCGCTTGAACCTAGTTCGACGATCCCATTCAGTTCAGCGATTCAACCTAGTTTCGACGATCCCATTCAGTTCGACAATCCCATTCAGTTCACCGTTTCCACCTAGTTCGACGATCCCTATCAGTTCGGCGCTTTAACCTAGTTCGAGGATCCCATACAGTTCAGTGCTTCCCTTTCATTTCCACCTATTTGTCGCATACTACTTATAGAGCAATACAGCCGAATCTACCTGTCTTGGGATTATTCCTGAGATACACAACTTCACCTTCTCATGGACTTTGACTTGATGGTCATGGTAACAACTTTGGAGCAAGTACGGCAACTAGATGCGTTTCCGTATCAGGATTGTCAAGTCCTACTGCAGAGTTCGCCAATCTCACCATTCAATGTTTGACGATTCCCCTCTCTGTCCTCCATGGGGAGACCCCTTCATTGTATCTACACTCAGCTGGGGCTACTAACTACCTATTATAACTACTGCTGACGAACAATACGTTTGGCGAAACTACCCCAAAAATATGTCTTATCATGATGTTTTCTGCTATAATCCAGCGGGGGAAAGTCACATAGTGTTAGAATTGGAAATCCTTGATTTCTGGGGCCATCTTGGATCCCATCTTGGATTTTCGGAAAATGGGCCCAAAAATCGGGCATACCCCAAAAATATGTTTTATCATGATATTCCCCATCACTTTGCAAAGTTTCAGGCTTTAGTATCTATTTTCACCCTTAGCCACTGCACTATCTACAGAGCTCCACTGTTGAGAGCTTTTCATATGCTTGTGTACACAGTGATGAGTAGTTTTCCATTAGAAACATCTACAACACTGGCCATATATGAAGAAGTGTGAGGTGAGGGCGATTCCAGGCTCTTCTTCTAGGACCTAATTTTGAAAATGCATGTGAAGTTTTTGATAGTTGTATCAAAGAGCAGATCAACAGGTTAAGAAAAAGTCAAACAAAAAGCAGCAAGAATTGTAACTGGTTTACTAAATCTTTCTTCTGTTAAAATTTCTAGATTTATATATTTGGAAACTGAATTTAATTTATGAACAATATAACACATCCCACCTTAAAGATCTATCAGAGAACAAACATAAAACCTTAAAACTGCACACATAACAACCAAGCCTTTATTATGTGCAAAGCTTTAGTAATCCATGTTTTTACCATCCTCTATTATACTGTGGAATACAGTACCCATTCAACATGGAATACTAAAACATTCTCTCGATATAAATCCAGTTAAAGCACAGTTCTCATATGGTCTTGGAAAAAAGGACCTTATAAAACATTTACATATTGCTTTCAAAATGATCACTTGGAAAAAGCTGAAATGAGAATAAAAAATATTGATGTGGCAGCCCATAGGAAAATTCCTATAATTATTTCATTGCACATGTAGAATGTACATGTATTTCATCAGCCAGAAACAAACTGATGCACTCCAAAGTGCAAGTGCAACTTGTGATGTAAATATTGACACAATGCTGGCTGATGCCGTTTTATAAAATCATGTGAACAAACTATTTTTATGAAGATGCAGACATATATAAAAGGAACAAAAATGTTAGAGTGTGTAATGTGTATGTTCACATGTTTCCCTGTTTCTTTTCTGTCACATAATGTATTTATTGTAAATAAGCAGACATGCTAATTTATGGAATCCAAAGTTGTGATAGCAAGCATTATACATATATCTGTTTCATGAGCATCAAATATCAGGCTAATAACTAAATTACAGAAAGACAAATTCTTACCACTGTGAGAGCACTGGCTTTATGATAATAGAATATTATATTACTGCACATTGCTTCAGTAATATTTTGACCCATGGCATTGCCTTTCATGAATGCAAACTATATTGTTGGCAATAACTCTTTAAAAATGTCCTTTTTGTTTTGAATGCATTTTTTCCCCTTTTTTTTCCATGTAAAATATCTGAATCACATTTTGTTTTAAACATATATACAGTGTACTCTGTCAATACCGGCATCAGTCGGGACCAAGTAAAAATGCCGGTTTTGACAGAGTGCCGGTTTAGCTAGGTTCGCTTATGACGCCTGCGCACACGGAAGTTCGCTGTTGTACTGTCACTTTAGCATTAACAAGATGTTTGAATAAGAAACAAGGCAGTGTCTGAATGCACATTCATGTTGTTTAAATCAAATAAAAATGTCTGAAATCTCTTATTAAATTTCAACTGATCATATATTATCGGCAGAATTAAAATTATAAACTATTTTTCGCAATGTTATTGCAAACAACGATTCTTGTTTATGCTTCGCAGCTGGTCTACAATAGCATTGTCAAAGAGCAAAGTAACGATGTTTCAAACATCGAGGAAATCATTAAATAAATTGAAATCAACAATAACATTCATAAAAGTTGTCAAACGCATATATAAAATTACTATTTCCATTCTTTTGAGCGATCATGCAATGTAAGTCAAGTCACTGACAAGTTACATCTCGCTTTCACACGATGCTTAATGTGAAAATATATGCGAAGCATTTTTGTCATAGGCCATAACCTAGCACGATATGTCCAATACGCTCCATGATTTACGATAGGTAGCGATGTCTTTCTTAATATGTTCAGAATAGCATTATTTTACCCAAAAACTTTCGTCTTAATCTAAAACTTTTCGCTTACTTAGGACGGTATCCATTTCCATAATATGATTGGCTGCTTAGGTCACGGTCTGATTTTGACCAATCACGACCCTTATAAGCAGAGTGTAGTGAAAAGCCGCCGTTAGAAACCAATCTTTATCCAATAAAATCGCTTCTTACAAATGTGAAAATACTCTCGGCAAGAGTACAGTGATATTGTTGATGTTCAGAGCTTTTTAAACGATACATACATCATCAAACGATTCGCCTCTATGTAAGTGACACGTGCCACTCACTAATTAACAAGAAACTGATTGACACTTCCGTTTCTGAATAATCACGGAGTCAATACCCGCGAATCAACAAAATGTAAACACTTGCTTGTTTATACAGTCAAACTGCCCACTACATGTATTAATTACTCTAGGTAAGTGTTACGCACCACTCACTGATTAACAAGATACTGATTAACACTTCCCGTTTCTGAATAATCTCGGGAGTCACAACGAATTGTGTTGTTACATCATTTGGACCTAATTGCATCAAAGGGTTACGCAGTCTTTCTTGTGCCGGTTTTTACAGATTCGTTTTCATAACAACTTGTTCGTTGGGACTGAAAAACAATGCCGATATCCTGAATAGACAGATGCCGATGTTTACAGAGGTTTCTAAATGATAATAACGTGCATTTCTGCCGGGACTGAAACTTTGTGCCGATGTAGACAGAGTGCCGGTGTTAAGAGAGGCCGGTATTGACAGAGTCCACTGTACATGAAAAGACTAAGGGTCAAGGTCAAGACGGTGAATTTGAATGATGACAGCAAGAGAAGCTGAGCTTACACCAAATAAAGAAAGGAAGACTGCACATTTTTTAAGGGTCAGAAAAGTTCCTGAAACTGTACCTATGTGAAATCAAGATTCAAGACCCAAATGGTGTGTGTTGTTCAAGTGTGTTGCATTTCACTTTGAAAATGAACAGGTAGCAGTCAAGATGAGATAGAGGACGCTAGAGTTTGGGTCGCATGTTGTACAAACTGATGATCCTGTTGGCCTCCCTCAAACCGGAGGACCTGGCGCCATGCATAGTAGAGAAATAGGTTGGATGAGTTGCTTCCCCTGCAAACAGGATACGTGGAACTTGGTCTGAGGAACACACTGGCTCCATAAGGTGTGGGACAAGGCTGTGGGGACTGGATGTTGTGGGGTAGCTGTAAGACCCACAGATGTAGGGGTTATCGCTCCACTCTGAACGACAGACCCGAGTGGGGGAAGGCAGACCCGGGTTACCTAAAAAGGTTTTTAAGATATTTGAGCAAACATTGGCTACTTCCTGTAATGGCAGACGTTCCATGTAAGCTGCCTCATCCCCTGACAACCAAGCTACAAGTACACCAGGGTTATTGAGCACTTCATCAAAACTGAATATCTTCTTGTACCATTCTTCTTTCCCCAAAGGTCGTGATTCATGTTCTTGCCAGCACAGTTTGATACCCCCGCGACCTTGCACCCAGAAAGGTATTTTGTAATACAGGAATATTTTGCTAACTATACCAAAGCCGATATTTTCAATTGCATGGACCTTTTGACTAGATAAGGGTGGTGAGAAGAGGGCGTGGTGGTGGCGCTTGAGGAAACCCAAAGAGCAGGTTACTATCACATGCTCCGCCATCATCTGACTTCCATTCCTACATCTGACTTCCACCTTGGGTGTTGGTCCTGACGTGTCCAGATGAACGTTGGTCACCTCTGTGTTATACTGTACTGATCCTTTGGGCAGGGTGTTGAGAACGGCATCCAGTATGGAAGCACATCCCCTAGGCAGTTTCACCTCTCCACCAGGTAGCTCTTCGTACTGGGCAATCAAGTGTGTGTCTGTGTCTTCAAGGAAGCCACCATTATGAAACCGTATCAGATTTAACAGACAGTTCATGACAGCTCGAGCATCTTCTTGTTCTTGTGTTTTAAACAAAGCCAAAGCATTCTCAAATTTGTTTTTGTACCATGATTCCAGGGGGATCCCAGGTGTGTCTTTGGTTTGACTAGAAAGTCCACCCAAATCCTGTTCTAGAGCTTGGTATATGGTCCACACTCTATTGGCCAAGTGAGGGTCAATGACATGCCCAGCTGACGTGTAGCAGTAGCCTTCCATCCTGCAACACACAATGCCAAGCATCTGACAATGATGGTAGACTACTGGAACATACATTGGTATACCTTCAGCCTGAATAACTACTGAGCAATTGGTCACAGCCAGCTTTACAGACAGGTGCTTGCTATGAGATGGGTTGCGGTAAAATATCACCAAGGCACTGTTTCTCAACATGAAATCTTTAGCTGTCATGTGAGAAGAGATTGGCTTTACATAATGGTCTGTGAGATGGTGTAACACATTTGATGTGATTAGCAATGTTTGATGTAAGAGATGATGTGTTTGATACATGAGGTGATGTAAAAGGTAATGTTTTTGATGTGAGAAGTGATGTGTTTGATGTTTGATTTGATTGGCAATGTGCTTGATAAAAGAATCTGATTGAAGAGGTGATGTGTTTGATGCAAAAGGTGATGTAAGAATTAATGTGTTTGATGTGAGAGGTGATATGTTTGATGTTGGAGGTGATGTGTACAGTTCTACATATAATACTTTATATATTGCTTTCACCTTGATAAAACTGCAGATCCTTTAGGTTTTGTGGTTTCAGAGAAGCTGATTCCGGAAGACATTTTAAAAAAAATAAAATTTCTTATCTTGGTGGTTTGAAAAATATTTCATTCCGTATTCACACACTCGACTTAATTTAGTTTCTAATGCAATGAACAAATCTGTGTCCAATAATGTGCATTGTTTGGGGGTCACCTATTATTTCGGTTTGGTTAAACAGTCAAAAGTCAAAACAGACACTGTATAAGCTGGATCCTGAACCTGACCTGAGCCTCTTCAAATAATAATACATCAACAGCATGTCTGTTTTAAGTGATGGAGCTGCTGCTGACACTGGGTCACACTTTACATTGCGCACACACAGCAACATGATAAATCATTTTTCATACTAACTTGTTCTTGTTAAATTGTCCTACCTGTCAAGCAACACATATGGGTTCAGCAGATTGTTTTGTGCAGCCAATGTAAAGACAGAGTTGGAAAGAGTTGCCCCATGGATCCAATTGGCTCCAAGTTCCACAATGCTTTCCCCGAATCTAATGGTCTTCATACGCCCTCCACATCTACAACAAACAACATATGCACACACGGTTTTACACACAGACTTTTAAAAATTGGAGTCATGGTGACTCACAATATTTATTTTGGGAGTCATTTTCAATATTTGGGAGTCATGAAAATTTAATATTTCTTTGTGTTTATCATTCTCAGTATGTAACTGTGTATGTCACACCACCAAATGAAACTACAGCATTGTTCAGTTCAAACAGCCAGGATTACTGTCTCCTCTGAGTTCTCTGGAACAATCTGACAACTCTGTAAAAGTCAAACTATCATCGAACAATATCATTTTTTGCTTATCAAATCAATTTTATTGAACTGAATTGTGAGGGCCACCTATAAAACTTGCGTCAAGCTTGACCGTATGGCAGTATTTTGAGAGTCGCTAACAAAATTATTGCGTCAAATACGCAGGAATCATGCGTCATGTAAAACGCTGTGCACACTGTGAAGTCACTTTCAAGGAGCGACTGGTGTTCTATATTTCCACAGCGCTGAGCACTGACTGACAGTGTTGAGGATATTGAGGGCTGGTCTGCTGAACTGAATCATACAAATATATGTTTATTAGCTGACGCTTACTTGTTCAAAGGGTCACCGAAAACAACTTTCATCTCCCTTGGATCTTCCATCATGTACTCAGAATGGAAGGTGTTTTATTTACTGTGTAACAGTGCACTCAAATATACAATATTGTCTCTACAAGTCAGACCATTGACTGACCTCATGAGCAACACCATAATTTTTCAATGACAGGCAATCAACTAAGCCACCCTTACTGACCACCCACAAGAAAAACTCGTAGTTAGGGACCAATTGTAAACCGGAATCCCCACTATGTGCAGCATAGTGGAGTGTAGTTTTAATGTCATCGCCCAGTGTATGTTCTGTTCATTCACAAGTTTATGGGGACAAAAGATCCACCTGCAGACAAGTACAAGAGTCATCAGAATACGACAAATTCCCCCGGCACCCACAAATTTGAAAGAACAAATCATCTGACAGTTACTTCAAGTCCGATTTGATGTTTTAGACTATGTCCAAATCATTTCCATGGAAGTCATGAAAAATATAAACGCCAAAATTCTGCAAGTAGCGAAAGGCGCCACTTCAAGATCTGTTTGATATGTCTCCCAAATCTTGCAGAAAGATATTGAACAGTTTTCGAGTTGTGATCCAGAAACAAAGCTCACACCTCCATTTTGAGACTACCTATGTCTGAACCAAATAGAAATGCCAAATTCTGTAAATAGCAAAAGGCACCACTTTAGGTTCTGTTTGATATATATACCAATTTTTGTTGAAAAACATTGAATGCTTTTTTAAGTTATGCTTCGGAAACGAAATGATCACGGACAGATGGACAAGGCGTTGACTATATCCCCCCACATTACATGCTGGGGAAGATAAAAGTTGGTTCATGTAAATAAAAGTGACAAAACCCTTTCCACATCAGTAAGAAATCTCTACTATAAGCAGACTGTACAAACTGTACACATGGGACTACATCATTATTATGTGTTTGTTTGTTTGTTTGTTTAAAGGATAATTACTAATAGGGGTAAAAGCATTCTAAAAGTCATCTTCCATGAATACAATTGAACTAAATGTTTATAAAATCACATAAAAAACATGCTCGTATTTCTGCCTAACAGTTAATGAGCAGAAGCGGTCATCACGTGACTTGATGTCATATGTGCGTATTGCCGATGGCTTCCTCTTTATTTTTGCTATAACTTGACAATGACCACGGACTCTGAAGCAGTGAAAGATGTTCCTGATGTCAGTGGACATGTTAGATGTTAAACTGTATCAATATGAAATGATTTTACATCTTGAAAGGAAACTTCCAGTGAAGATGAATCAAGTGAAATGGAGGCACCACTTGATGTCCAAATAATTTTTAAAATAGACGTTATATTGGTAAATGGTAAAATACAACTAGTTATGACTATGTCAAATGTTACTTTGTTCTAAACATCGATCTAATGAAGACATATAAATGTAAACTATTCATATACGTGCATGCTTGTATTAACAACAAACCGCCTGAGTGCTTCCATGGTTTGATGTACCTCAGTAATGTTGACACTGGATATAGAGTGGTACTGTTGATTTATGTCATTAGGCTCTTGAATAACCACAAAGTGGAAGGACAGTAAAGAAAGGCCTTTAAGTTCTGCTCCAGAAAGAGTACTACCACAAATTTCAATCAAAGTAAAACTTGATGCCATGGAAAGGCAAAAATTGTTTTATTCAGAAATCCAAAACTACCAAATGGCATCAGTTCACATCCAGACCAATCTATGTGCCAAATTTGGTAAAGAAACATTGAACAGTTTTAAAGTTCTGTTCCAGAAAAGAGCACCAACACCAACTTCAATCAAAGTCAAAGTTGTTGCCATGGAAATGCAAAAAAATATTTCATTCAAAACTACCAAAAGGCACTGTTTCACCACCAGACCTATCTATGTGCCAAAATACGTGAAGAAACATTGAACCGTTTTAAATTCTTCTCTTTGGTAAAGAAATATTGAACGTTTTTTATGTTTTGCTCTGGAAAAGATGAATTTGCTTGGACGGACGGATGAACAGATGGATGCACGGTGTCCAAAATACAAAACACGTTGCAGGGGATAATAATACTTTTGCATTAAAAATTTGGGTACATATTTCTGATGCATTTATCTTTAATCAAGTCAGTTATTGCAATTTTCCAGTATTCTCCTTTAATGTCATACTCAGCAGTTTGACTGGGGTCAGTAAAAAATAATCAAGCCAGGACCAGACAATAGAAAAAACACAACTTCATGTTACATCGCGAAATGCAACTATGCTTCCCCAAGCGGTAACCTCTTTTGTTAAGCAGCTCATCATGCCCTCATATGACTCAAACAAACACCACAGGTACAAAGAACGTACAATAATATAACGGGACGAATTCTGACGCAGTCGTCAGTAAAATATAATACAGAGTACTATTATTTAACCCAAAGAAATATAACCTAGCATTGTGTAATTGTAACTACAGTTTTTATGTAAAATATATATAATCAACACTAAGATTATACGGACCCTGATGAACGTGGTAAGCAGAAGTTGTACGCACATGGAATGGGGTAAAATATGGAAGCCATTTAAATTCACACATTTTTACCGATGTTACTGTAAACTAGCAGTCAATGGAAAACGAGGCGGTAATCAGTTCGTGATTGTTGAATGGGGTAAAATAAGCAATCCAGTTTGTTGCTACAATAAATATGATATATATATTATGCATTTTCTGTCAACTACACTTCGTTTCGATCCGTGAGTAGACGCAATATATATGATTGTGAATTCTTTGAATACTGTGGACCAAAGTTATAATTATTGGTAACTGCCAGTTGTCTGTGGTCTGTGTTTGCCTCGATTAGGACCCCATCGCGGGGGATCGGCTTATGCACGAAACATACCATTTTGACACTGATTTTAAGGGTCAAGTTTGGGGGTCGTCTTATCGATGGGGTCGGCTTATAGACGGTAAAATACGGTATATCAATCGATTTTCAACATCGACAAGATCTGGATTTCTTTACAGTTCCAACTATACTGGTTGAATCTTCCATTTCAAGTGAATGAAGCTGTCATTTTGTAATATATGCAACACAAAGGGAAGTAACCAACAATGTAATTTTGGGAACAGGCGACGTTGCAACAAAAAGAACTCACCATGATAATTTAACATTAGACTTTACAAATAAACGTTTTAATAATAACGTTTTATAATTGATTTTTTTATGATTCATATCACTGTCAGTAGAAGGACTGATGTTGTATTGTTGACATTCAGCAGCTGATGAAAGTTTCAATGAAATGCTTCGTGCATCAAAACAGTCCTCACCAGTTGATGAATGTCAATGAATACAGCTTCAATCCTTAATAACACTGCACAACAAATCACCAGAATATATACATCATTCATCTCAGATCATCAATATACAGATGATTGCACCTCCTATGAATAAATCCAATATTTACACACTCGAAACCATTAACATACATAATACTGAACAACACACATGATTAGAAGACTAGGTTGTGGTTGGGATCCACAATACCCACGAACCAACCTGTGTGAGGCCTCCAGTATTCGGACCCCCGTCACTCCTGCCTGTGCGAGACTCTCTGCTGCTGAGAGCCCTGCTAGTCCACCCCCAATCACCACTACACGACATGGGATGTCTGCCATCATTAAGCTGTGGTCTTTTCACTGTAATGTGAAAACATTCTTCATTTAAGTCCAATATAAGTCTCTATATTTGTAGGATAAGTAACTTAACTAACACTGTGCTGTCATGTTTTGCTTTCATTTGAATATAAGGACTAAAATTTATTTCTGAAAACATACTGACTGAGTTTTGTTTATCAATGCTACAACTTCAGGTAGGTTTGTACAAACATGGCACTGGCAACCTAAAGTAATAACATTGTTGCACCAGACAAAAACAGGCTGCACTTGCTGCTCTATATAAAATTATATGCTTCTTTCATTTTAATAACTGCAACATTTGCAACCAAGTGAATTTATAAGGTTGCACCAGCAAAATATTGTCTGCACTATGTTATCAACAACATTATCATTGTGACCAACATCCGACAATTCCTTACTGACAGAGGAATATTGATGGCCAAATCCACTACCTCCAGAACAGCTCACAATACTGTATGTCAGGAGGAATCCTTTGACTGGTGGTTGCTTTCTAACAGACATTTTCATTCAAGAATTTCATTTCTTTTCTTCTTGAAAGCAGATTGCAAAATCAATTTCTCTGCCATTACAAATGCCGTATTACACAATGACCTCTGGCCTTTCTTGACATGTCAAAAGGTTGTGAACACAGTGTGTGGTCTTGCACTTGTCTACTTAAGTGACTGATATGAAAGTAGTGGTGTGACGATTCAACGATATGCATTTATGCATCGATCCATAGGGTGTCGATACAGTGAATCGATACAAAGTTTTACACTGTCGTATATCCCGATATGATACTTCAAATGGGCCACGATACATCGATGTTTAACTTTGAATATTGCCAATTCGCGATATCTGTCAAGAAAAAAGACCTACTTTTGCTGGATGATTAAAATATATGCTTGCTTATTTTCCCTTCATAAGTAAACGTTTTCTCAGAAATTCTTGCGTCAAGAACTGTGTCAGACATAGCGCTCGCATGTTATTAACATTCACACAGTTCGTGTATAAACTTAATTATCTTGTTTTCGAATGAACATTGAAAAATGCTGGCGGAATTTGACGAAAAACTTTAAAATTGGTTTTGTTTTTGATCTTAAGGTGTTTTATAGTTAGTGTTAGAATTAAAGATTTTAGTATCGTGATTTGTATCATATCGCCACCCTCATGTCGGGATTCGTATCGTATCGCAGCTTAAGTGCACAATACTTTGGCAATATAAGATGTTAGTATCATAATGTATCATATCGCAGGTTGTATGCCAATACCAGCACTACATGAAAGCAGATTGTTATCTTCTTCTTTTTTTCCTTTTCGCATTCTTTCGCATGATATATGTGATACGACAAGACTTATTTAATATGGGAAATTTATACCAATAAAACTGCAGTCATGTTCTTGTGATGTTCACTGGGTGCAACATGATGATAATATACAATATTTTACCTCAACCAATGAAAGCTGGATATTATAGATGTAATAGATCTGTCTTTAAAATTGGAGCTGTGACATTGTCGATCCACAATAGCACGATTTCTGCTGGCTCTGTGATAGTACTGATACACACGGAGAGTAAGTGGACAAACTACTCGAGATTGTACTAAAGCAGGACAGACAATCAACTCCTTTAGAGAAGTTGGCCTCAGAGCTGGAGGATTGAGCCCAGTATCTTCTTCCAATATCTGGCAAAGAGTAATCTTCCCATCTGCATTCTATGTATGTGAACTCAGCAATTGTGAAATCAACGAAATGGAAACTTTGCAACTGTACTTTGCACTGTGCAGAACCTCCACAAGAGGTCGTCTACAGCTGCTACAATCAAGGTCCTTGGATTATGGACAATGCTGGGCAGAACAGACAAAATGAAGCTTCTCTTCCTAGGACGACTCTGTAGAGCAGCCGGCACAACCATTGTGAAGCCGATCTTCTATCTGAGACTGTCAGTATGCCACCACTACCACACATAGTACCAGATCCATAACACATGATCTACTAAATGTAGCCAAGAAGTATGGGTTATCAGGCGTACTAGACAAACTTATCAAAACTGGAGAATTCCTGGGGATGCCTATTTAATTCTTGTCTAGATCTAAATATTTTATCCCAAATTTTAGACAGATGTTACCAATAAGGAAGGCCAGTATTTCATATATTGTTTTCTCAGTATACATGTACTTTGATTTATCATTATTTAGCATTATGGTCAGCGCCAGACAGTGACTACTTGCATCTATAACATAAGTTTTGTTTACAAACACTCCCCTGCCTCATTAGCCAAACAATAAAACATCCCCCCATAGCAACTATACTTCATTTGTTCCCACAACGTCACTAACCAGCTTGGTCATGATGTCATGTTTATCATAATCAACTGTTACATCATGCAAAGCAACAGTGACACTGCTCGAGAAATTAGGCTTCCGACAACACAACAGTGACAACAATCGATTGACACTGATCTAGGATTGCAATTAAACATGCCCACTGGCTTGTAAAATGGCCTAAGGCTAGTAGGACAAGGGCTACCAGAAACCAGCCAATAGGAGCTCAAAAGGAAGCAGGATACAGGGCTACCAAACCCAGTGGAGGGAAAAGGATGTCACATTCACAAAATAAACCAGGTACGTCAGATATTGAATACGTATATATTAATTCACCCGATATAACACAGAATGCAGTTCAATCGCCCATAATTAGCCAAACAAACGAATCTAACATAACGCACACACATGCAGCAATGCTTCATGACAACACGGGCGCACATATGGCAAGGTTTGCCGACACAAACCAAGACAATTCCCAAGGTCAAGTCAACAGCGACACAATTGCACCCGATCAATCGCAAAGAAACAGGCATGAGGCTGGAAGCACTGCCTCCCAAATGCAGGTGCAACAAACTCTTAACCTATTCGCAGCAATAAATTTCCGTAATTCATCCACGTTTGGCCAACACGCAACAAATGTACCCTGCCTACAGTTAAACATTAGATCGGAACACATCTTTCTCAGCAGCATCTTGAATAAATACAGAATGGAGAATACACTGAGCTTAAACAGCTACTACCAGCGCAAAGTCAGTCGCCTCAAGAGATGTCGGTATTCACAATGGCGCTCAAACCCTCAGGTCAGATCATTTTCAAACCTAAACAACAATAAACACTTCTGTTAGGCATCGGAGCTTGGACGTTGGCGTTCACATCTACATGAGAGTATACATAAGATACAGGACCTGCTCACCTACATTGAGCAGTATGTTGAGGTAAATAAAGTAACATCACTCTGGGGAACGTGTATGCATAATTTTCCTTGCTCCCCCCACAACAAACACATTTTTTCCAGTATAATTTCCACATAAAGAATATAGACTGGATGTCAGCTGTGTGCATATACCTGCACAGCTGGCCACCGCTGTTTGGCCTGGTGCAAGTGGGGTCAGTAGTTAAACGCTGGGTGGGTATTGGTATGATACTTGGTTGCCTGCTAACTACAGCGGGAGCCCAAATTCTTCTGCACGCTGCATCTATATGCGTGTGTGTGTGTGTGCAGACGGACCCTGGACAGCTTGACCCGTGATAAGGTTGGTAATTTGCATGGGGGGTTGAGGTAGGATCGCAGCTTACTGCCTTCATCATCCACATTTGCCTATAATATCCAACAAATCGTTGTTGTTGCTTATCTTTACTTCCATGGCAATTTTATTTACGTCTTTATTTTACAAATTGTCCTGAACCTCTGTAACTATCTATCTACATATTGTAACCAGATATTTATTATTCATAAATTAATATATACTAACATTATTAACAAAACTTAACACAACAATTACTAGAGAACTCACAAAAATGAGAAAAAGTCCAAAATTTAAGTTAGGGTTGAGGTTAGGTTTAGGGTTAGGTTTAGATTTAGGGTTGGGGGAACGGATATGGAACTCTTCCCCAGATTTACTAACAAATACCTCAATGATCAAGAAAAGAATTTTTCCTTAAGTTTGATATGTCGTGTAAAACGCTGTAAAATTTAAAGTTTTGACTAAACTGAAATCTGTCATTGCGTATTTTGAAAAAGGTCAAGGACTCGATGACTTCACACACCATGTACACGTGACAATGGACGATACGAGACTGACATAATCGGTGACGTCTGCGTCATCAAAATAGAGATGCTAACAATATCCAATCAATGTAATCGTTCAGTTCCAAGCGTTAGCTGTACGAGTTTGTGACAACAACGAGATGACACCTAATATTAACGCACACACGGCTGATTGAAAATAGGGTGTGTGTCATTGTTTACATTTCTCCTGCAAATGGGATAACGACTTTCGCTTCTCGAAACTGCTCCAAAAATGTTTTCTTCCACTAAAAGTAACAACAGCCGTTATTTTCGTGGCGTACACTTGCTAGAGTATCGATTAAAATGCTAACAAACAATTCTAACCGTCTGTTCTTGGTAGACATATGACGCATCCACCGTGTGATGGTTTGTCTTCCCGGCGTCCATGTGTGGGAAGCGCCAGCACGTTGAGCGCCACCGCAGCATATCCAGGGAACCAGTCTGACATTCGGAAAATCATTCGGAACTGACAAGGTTGCTGGATTAACAACAGCGATGTGAATAGAATAGAATCTATAGAATAATATTTTAATGCCTTTTTAGGAATTTGTGTTACATCAGCAGAGCTACTGACACATGAGAGAGATACAAAACATATTTACATAAATTCATTGATTTAAGTATCATCACATTTGTTTAAAAGAGATATGGTACTTGGAATAAAGGATGTACAGGCCTGAAGGGAGGAGGTTGTATTCCGAATTCAAGTAGTGAGTTGGGTCAGATATAATTTTGACAGCTTGATTCACGATTTGCCTCTCATATATTGATGATAAACATTCAAATCTGACTCCAGCGATTTTACTTGCAGTGTTAATAATTTTGTTTGTTTTAGATTTGAGATGAACTGAGAGAGACCCGTACCAACAATGGAAGGAACATGTTAAAATACTATGAATAAATGCTGCATAAAATGCTGCCATCATAAATGGGTTAACATTAAAAGATCTCAGTTTACGCATGAGATGAAGACGTTGCTGACACCCCAACGTCAGGGCGTTCACAGAGTACTGACCTATTCTCCCCCGAAATTTTCTTATAACGATACCCGAAAGAGTGTAAGAGTTGCCAGAGTATGTACTTTGATACTCTGAGGTTGTGTTCTTGCTTCAAATGCTTTTTTAAAAAATTTCAGCGACATGTATTTGTTTTCAGAATAGAGCTTGTTGATAGACTGCCTTACAAAGTTCTTTTGAAAGTTGTCCAAATGTTTTAATTTGTGTGATTTTGACACGACCCCTACCTGCTTCGCATCACCCTCACAATGTTTGTGTTCCAGAACATTTGTCAGTACCCTTGCTGATACTCCTAAAGCTTTTGCTGCCCGCTTACGGAATTTATTAATGGCATAAAATGGTTTGCCCCTTTCGGCTTCAGCACGGAAAAAATCGTACACTTTAATCATCAACTGTTTCACGTCAGCATTCAACTTCATTTTTTCATCAGGCATGTGTCTCCCATGCACGACGAGATAGTGGCTGTTCCGTTTCTGCGGTTTCACCCCGCCGCGACAGATAACAACCGTCAGGAACAGGTTGAGAGAGGCTGGTTTACGTGCCTGTGCTTCGACAACAACATCGTCGACATCGAGGTCAATGGCGCACCAACGTTCAGGCCTGGAACCTACCGAATTGGCGTAGAATCTGGTTCAGTGATGAATCACGATTTCTATTTGAACGACGCGATGGAAGAATGCGGATGTACAGACGTCGACGTGAACGTTTCGCCGACGCTTGCGTTCCCCAGGTGGACAGATTCGGCCGGGGCAGTGTTATGATGTGGGGAGCGATCACCTGCCGTAGGAGAAGTGATTTGGTGATGATCCAGGGCAACCTGACAGCTCAGCAGTACTGTGACGAAATCTTACGCCCACACCTCCTTCCACGCATTGATCGCCAGAGGGAGTTGTTTCAACAGGACAATGCCAGGCCCCACACAGCACGTCATACTAGAGACTTCCTCCAGAACCACAACATCAATGTGCTCCCCTGGCCCTCAAGATCACCGGACTTAAACCTGATCGAACATCTGTGGGATGCCCTGGACAGACGGGTGCGAAGCCGTAACCCTCAGCCCGAGACACTTCAGCAACTCGCAGAGGCACTACAGGCAGAGTGGCCTGCGATTGGGCAACACGAGATTCCGAGACTTATTCGTTCGATGCCGAGGCGATGCCTTGCAGTTCTGGATACCCACGGTGGTCACACGAGGTATTGACTTCAGCGCCACCACACGTCTCCATGTGACACGCAAACTGACTTTCCTCGAGTTGGTGCCAAAGACGGATAAGTCTGCATTCCCAGTGTGCAATTTCGCTATATTTCATTGACTCATAAAGCCTACAAGATGTTTCAAAATAAACATAAAAATACATTTGAAATTCCTATATGCGTTTCTTTTTTGGGAGAGTATATATAGCGGCAACTGGGTATGCCAAGCCGCTTTGCCCACATCCTCCGATTCACTTACCAGGACGGTCAAAAGCTTACATTAATTATATTTATGCGACTGCCAGCATGCTAATGTTCCTTGAAGTAGAAACAGTAGAAGACTATCTGGGTACTATCATTGATAATGAACCTTCATGGAAATCAAATTCATGTGGAAAGCACAACAGAGGCTTTTCTTTATGCGAAAATTGCGATCTTTTAATGTAGACACTACTGTCTTGAAATTTTTCTACCACACATTCCTCAATAAGTGCAATCCCAAATATAACACGTTACTTTCATCAATAGTATTTTAACTTTCTGCCTTCACGCATGGTATGACAATCTCCCTCATACACAGAAAAACAAAATTGGCAAAATTGTAAACATATCCAGCAAAAGTAAGGATATGTCCTTTTCAGTATGAGTCAAGAGTTTAAAGGAAGCTCTGGCTATTCAAGCGGATCTATCACACTTTTTAAATGAATGTTATGTGTGTGTGTGTGTGTGTGTGTGTGTGTGTGTGTGTGTGTGTGTGTGTGTGTGTGTGTGTGTGTGATATTTGTTATTTGTATATGCATTGTATTGGCTCTTTGATTGCAGGACAATAGAGTTTATCTTATCTCTTACTTCGTACAATCTCATGTAGGGCGTGGTTCAGGCTAAACCCAACCTTGAAAATACTGTGTAGAGAGACTGACCTGATACGAGTCCAAGCATAAGGCACCATATTATGCTACCGTAGCATAAATCCCAAGGTCCTCCATTTTAGTGGACCCGTGAAGATCCGGGTGAGACTCGATTATTTACAGGCCGCCGCAATAAAGCAGGAATATTATTGAGTGCGGCGTTAAACAACAAACGCACCAACCAACAACCATTTCAGTGACTAAAAAAAGACGCACAGCTTGACTGGTCACAGGACATTTACAAACAACACAGGGTGAATCTGTACGTACAACAACAGGTGATGGAGATGTGGGAAGAGCCCAAACAAACAACCGCATGTCCTCGTAAGAATGAAGCTTATGGTACATTTATAACAGTTACCAGTAACTGTACACAGATCTAATTTATAAAACGATAAGATTACACTTTATTACCCAATAGAGAATTCTTTTTACATCAAACAGAGCATGACATCATACAATAAAATATGTATGGCAATTACGATAATAGATGGTTATATATGGACAAATGTAAAATAACAACACCCATTCACACGCACAATACACACTAACACAGATAATCAACAATCATATATGTCCATTTTTCTGTATTATATACACCAACTCAAACGTTAAGATATATCAGCGTCCATGAAAGTGTATAACTATAAATATTATGTTTCAAAGGTTTGGTTTATAGACTTGTAATGCCACAAGGGATACAAGATTTCCTTGTTCTGTTTGACCTATGGCAAGGCACATTGAAACGTCTTTCGGATAGCAAAAGTGAATATTCAGAGAATAGAATAATCCTAGGTAGTCGTATGGGAATTAATGTCCAGTTTGATTGTCTCATGTTTACTCATTTGTATCCTTGATTACAGTGGCTCATTTGAGGAAAGGATTCCGATTCAGACAATATTCAGTCTATTGTTTAACATGTCAACTACACTGAAAACATCATTTTAGGCCATTACTCCCCCATTTCTGCATGTAGTTATGGGTTTTGATATGCTGCTATCTAAGTAAGTGTTATTCAGAAAAAGAAATACATCTGTATGTCCACCTGCTGCCCTCGGTCCTATTCAACATATTGAACCCCTTATAGGGATTAATCTTGATTTGTAATAAGCCATCAACCGGGTGAGCAGATAGAAAATGCGCCGTAATACAGGTTGACTGGGCGCAGGACGACTATATGAATTTTCGCAGCACGTACAAAACCGCAACGCATTTAAAAGGAATGTCCATCAATGGCGGATTTTCTTAGATAACGAACGACTCGAATATTAAAACCTTGATGGCTCTCAATCTTCCTTTGAGGCTTGTATTACCTGTCTTGATTTCTTTGCTAAGATTTCAGGACTTAAAATGAATTTCAGTAAAACACAGGTGGTATGGCTTGGTTGCAAGAAAGGTTGTAAGGACAAATTCATGGCAGATCGTCCCATTATGTGGAACCCTGAGACGTTTAAAATATTAGGTATACTGTTTTGTTTGACTTGGATTGCATGACACAACTAAACTTTAAGAATATGCTTCTTGAAATAAAGATGATTATCAACAGATGGATGAGAAGAATTGTAACACCAATGGGCAGAGTAGCAATCATCAAATCTTTACTAGTATCTAAATTGAACTACTTGTTGTTGTCACTTCCTGACCCATCACAAGAGTTTCTTGCTTCACTGAATGATATTCATTTTAAATTCTTATGGAGTGGAAAGAAAGACAGAGTTAAGCGTACTAAGATTTGTCAACAATGTGAGAAATGGTGGCTTGGGTAGATATCTTTATGTATGCTAAGGCCCTTAAGGTGTGTTGGATTAGACAGCTCACTAGTGCAAGCAATCCAAAATGGAAGCAACTTTTTCAAGCAATTTACCCATTCATAGATTATATAAATACATTTGGTGCATCTTACTTCGAAGAAAAAGTAAAAGTGCTCAAGAACCTTTTTGGGAAAAAACCCTTCATCTCTTTTTTTTCATTTTGGCAAGAAAGTAAAACCAGATTCATTTAGTAAATTTTTAACAGAGCCAATATTCTATACTAGGCACATAAAGAAACTGTGCATACAAAAATTTAAAATCTAAATTTATCAAACCTGTGTAGACACATAAGGATTAAAACTCAGAGATAAGTGACATGTAACCAACATGCATGCACGTGCAACGTTCCGTGACGTCAGTGGGTTCGTCCTTGAGACGTGCAATACGTTGTTGCACGTGCAATCCGGGAAAGAGAAACAGAGCAAATGAATGCCACACAATACTGTCACTTTGGAAAGCTCAACCCCTGCCCTTGCGATCGTTCAAAAACTTAAACGGCTATTGA